ACATGGTGACGTTTTTCAGGGTTTTCTAGGTATGGTGTATTTAGATTCTAAATTTTAGAAGTGGTTTAACCATTCCCTTCTTCTGGGGGCATACTGGGATTGTGCAGCTTGCAGGCTGGCTCCCTGGAAACACAGTGGGGAACTGAACTCCCAAACCAGCAAGTTTAGGGGATGGTGCATGTCTAATGCTCTAACCACCTAATTATTGGGAGTGGGCCATAAACCTGAGACATCCCTTTTCTCTCTGATAGGAATGCCCCTGCCCTTTAATAAGTTACCACAATCATGGTTCTCTCATTACTTAAAGCCTAAATCAGGAACATATACAGCTGTAGTTCATGCTAATCAGGTTTGACTGGAGAGTTAGATTTGCTAAGATTGACTGGAGTTCTCTAGCAATAGTTTTCAAATCTTGGCTTCAGAAGTTTGGTTAATGGTAAATCCCGTCTAATGTTAATGGCTAAGATTAGTGGCGGCATAAATCATAAAAGTGGTTAAGGCAGGTAACAAACATTCTTGGTAATTTGACTAAAGGAATAAGTGAGATGAAAAAACAGCCTATTTCCAATTTCTTAAGAGACCAAGAACATTGCTAATGCAGCAATCTATACCACGATATGAATGTTATATGGGACATAGAAAATATAACAATTGTGAGCACACATACACTAATTATGTACAGGGGTATAGTTCAATAAGTGAATACTGTAGTTGTTAGAAGGAAGGGGAGATCTGTATGCTTCACAGTGTTACCACTAGCTCTCCATATAATATCAGTATAATTCACCTGTACTGGGCAGCAACAGAAGACCAGAAATGGAACTTATACACAGATCATCCATATTTAGTATGTCTGAAAGTATGGCTACACATATATGTTGTGGAGGAGGATGCTTCTGAGCTATGACAACTTTTGGATTTGAGGCATGTAGGATAGGTAGGTTATTCTGTCTGTTGGTCTAGTTATCTATCTATCGAGTCAATCTGGATAAACTGTAGTTTAAGAGTTAAAGCCATATGAGTACCATCCCCGTATTTATATATTTTTCATTTTATACCTATGCCTAATTTACCCCACTCCACAACAGAATATGTTTTGTTGCTACATGTTGTCAAGACACTTCTGATTTGTGGCAACTCTATGAACTTGTTACCTCCGAAAGGTGCTGTCATTAATTGTTTGGGTGTATGAAAGATAATTTCAGAATCTTGAGACTCTTGCTTTGAATTTAGCCAGTTTTCTAGCACTTACAGTTTCAAATATTGATTTGCAAATCAAATCATGCAGCCAACAATGAACTGTACCCACCAACCCTGGTTTTGCTTGATCTCAGTCAAAATCGATTAAAGGTGTAGGGGCAGAAGGTTTATTTTTCCTCTATATGTTTTCAGATTACTTGTTCCCTTCCTGTTGCTATTGTACTCAACAAGCGAAGAAACAAGTAACACAACAGTGCCTTAATAATTACAGACTGCTGTGTTACACAACAGTGCCTTAATATTTACAGACTGTTGTGTTACTTGTTTCTTTGCTTGTTGTGTACAATAGCAAGAGTAAAGTACTGTAATAGAGAAAAAAAAGCAAATGGCTAGTTCATCTTTCTTTACTAGGGGTCATCATATGCTCTAAGCACTCGGCATTATGTGTATGTAAAAAGGAGCAAAATGTTTCTGGTTTTGTATGTGCAAATGCTGTACAAATTTGTCCTTTGAGACATACATATAAAGCCTGTGTGTGAATGTGAATATATAATGAGAAGTCACAAGGTGTGTCGCTAGGTTTTTATAATAAGGCTCCAGAATGGAATGAAAGGAAATACTGGAAAATCAACTTCTCTTTTACTTATCTGCCAGATGCTGAGTTCTTGAATCTGTGCTTTCTGTGCTGTGGCTGATGACATAATAAATGCTCAGAGCTGTGCTGGGAGCAATATTGAGAAACCACAGTTCACCTTCATTAGCCCACCAGGAATCCAGGAAGCAGAGGAGATAGGGTACAGTGTTGTCAACCCTAAACATCCAGAAATGATCAGTTAGGCTCCAGTAAGTCCTCTGGCTCAGAAAAGTGCTTCTGTTTAAGTAATTAAGGTGTTTTCTTGGGCTCATTTTGGAGGAATCATGCCTTCTGTTAAATTACTGTAATTATGAGGTGCTAAAAGAAAATGTTTGTAAATGATCCCTGTGTTCAATAACTGTCTCTCCAACCTTGTTCAAATTTTTGTATATGAGCTCTGGAATTTCTTTTTGAGGGTCACTGGAAGTTCACCTAAGATTGTATTATTGGATATTAACTTGTTGGATACAATGTAATTTAAACTGATTTTAAAAAAAATCCCATCTGACTGGTTTGCATGCGGTAGGCTCTACCTCACATTTTTTTAGAGAGATGTAAGATTACTTCTGTAGAGTTGAAAACTGGATGGCTTTACAGACACATTTCTCGTATTGTCTGCAGTCTTTTGCTGTACTGCCTAAATGAAGCTACTAGTGCCATGGATTAAGATGGCCATGCCAGCCAAAGTAACTAGAAGTCAAATTGGAACATGATATTCACATGTTCACTTGTATTGGAAGAGATTGTGGTGTGAATTTTATTTGCAGTTGTAAAGCATGAAGAAAATACATCTTGTTAAGCTCTGAAGCAATTGGGATGAGATTAGCTATTTAAAAATATCAGTGCCATGAGGACCCAGGAGTCGTCCATATGCTGTAAATTTCAACCAGTATGGCTTCCACGAGGGAACTCTGGGGAGTGGAATTGTGTTGGGATGTGAAGAATGGCTAGTTAGGTATCCTTTGCTCCCTGATAAATTATAATTCTGATGGCTGCAGTGTGAAGAGGGAAGAAAAGAAGATAGTACCATTATGTTGGTTTCTGGAGTAGACCCGGCTCCAGTCTGTTTCAAACAGGCCCATGTGATTTCAATAGCACTGAAAAGTGTTACAGTACTTACTGAACAGAGCTCATCAGCTAATCTATCACATTCAATAATAACTCATAACTGCCAGTTATTCCTGATCGGTCCTTTTATTTGATCTGGTAGTAACTTAAGTCTGAAAGAGCCTGTGTCCACTTGCTAATCTTTTCAGCCGTTCAGTTGCAAAATAAGGGCAACTGTACATGCTACCAACTGCACGTTTGAAAAAGCCAGTGACATTTCAGAATTCACAGTTGCTTTATGTAGGCCTAGATTACATTGTATCTATATGTTGATCAAAAGAATTTGTGCAGCTATTGAGTAGGCTTAACAGCTGCTACCAGAAGAAGTATTTAGCAGCAAATGTGAACAGAACATTTGAATAAAAGGCAACATGCAGAAGTAAAACTGTTGGTTTAATGTATCTTCAGTATTTGTTTTGGAAAAGTATAATTAGCAATCTTTAATGATGTGTTTACATATGTCGAAAAAGGGCTTTGTTCAGGAGCTTTTAAAAATTAAACCAGCTCCTAATGAAATAGCAATATTGTTCTATTTATTGTACTAAAACATTATATATTTACGGAAGGGGTATACATCCTGTATAATCAGGGGTAGCAGTAGCCCATGGCTGCTTCCAGTGTGACCACAGAAGGTGAAAGGTCCTCACTCATTTTCCCCTTTGCTTCCAAGAACACTGTTTCTCTGGTGTTAATAGTAGTGGGAAAAATCAATCTCGTTGAAGGTTGATGTGGGATGTGTGTGTTTGTCTATGCATGCATACCTACATGTGCAACCCAGTTGATTCCAGGTATGGCCCTTGGAGCCAAGCAAGCTGTGCGTATCCCAAGTTATAGAATGTACAATTTGCTTATTACTAGGAAATTTTGAAAATAAAGCTAATGTGGTGAGAAAATGTGAAACAGTCTTTGCCGTCCCATTCTGTCTGGCTGTTCTCAAATTATTCAAAATTAAGCCTCCATTGTGGATTTGTTTGCTAATGTTGTTTTACAGCTTGGCTTTTAAGATCTGAACATTTATTTTGAGAATTTTATTGCTATTTAGCAGTGGTGGCAAACATTTTTGGGCCCAAGTGCCCAAGCTGGGGGGGGGAACCAATGGGTGGTGTGCCGTGGCAGCAGTGGAACCAGAAGTGGCAGTGGTGGAACCGGAGGTGGCGGCGGAATGGGGAATCCTGGGCACGAAGGTGCCTTGAGAATCCACTCCGGATCCACTGCCAGGGCCAGCTGCACCGGATCCTGGCCCGCCGCCTGGCGAAGCGCCAGCACTGCAGCTGCATCCACCTCCTCAGATTTGGCTGCGGGGGGTGGGGTGGGTAGTGATCTGGCAACTTATGGGTCATGTGCCCATAGAAAGGGCTCTGCGTGCCAGCTGTGGCACGGATGCCATAGGTTTGCCATTGCTGCTATATAGTCTTCTGAAATTTCTGAAAAGGCCACTGATGCATAGGAAATTCAGTGAGAGCACCTGTGAGCTTAGGACTTGGGCCTTTGGTTAACAATCCATTCTGAGGAAGGTGGTGAGGCCTGCTGAGCTTTTGCACTGAGGGGAGTTTTTAACTGTGGACCTGTCCATACAGGAGAATTTCGAGGGGTCTCATTTGCACTTAAAAGATTCTTAGCTTCAATGTGATCTATTTTATCTGTCACTTGTGTAATCTTTCTTTTCACATTATTTTCCTATGAGAATGGTCTACATTGCTAGTTTACTCATGAAGTTTAGCTTGTTTGCTTACAAGGAAGTTCACCCGGTTTACTCACAAGTAATGAGGCAGCAGTACTGTCATGAGGGGAAAACTTTGGGGTGAAGTTTGGGAAGATGGAATGAAGTAACCCCCCCCCTTTTTACCTTACACCTCAACCAGGGCTCTGCTGGATGCTGCTGCTTTGTAAGAGAGGAGCCCATGCAGTCAACATTGTCTTCTTCCCTGCCTTTTCTCACAGATGTTATTCAGCTGAGTGCAATGGCTTTCCTTTTTTGTTGTTAAATAAAGTAAGTATCATTTCAAAAGTGATACATGTCCCACATGATATTAGAATTGGGCTGTCAGTTAGAGAAATGTTTTTTGAAAAAGGCAAAAATAGAGAAGGGGTTTCTCCATCCTCCCTTTTACTGTCACAAGCTACTTATTATACCACAGGGTTATCACTTCTGATAATGCCACCCACAGCTCCATTTGGTTGTGAGCTAACCATTCACATAATGAGGTAATTTGGATCACACTGAATCATACCAAAAAGAATACATGCCCTAGAACTGTGACAGAAGGGTGCACAGCAGCTCTAAAAGAGACAGGATGAGTCTATCTAAGTAGAAACACATGTGGATGCTGTCATTTGGTTCAAAACAAACTGTACCAACAGCGATCCATGTACCAATCTATATGCCAGTCTGGACAGGCCCACTGTGTTTCTGAAGAAACTGGAAATACTGGGTGAAAGAGGACAACATTTAACATAGATATTGCCATAGATGGAAAAGAGTTTCTGATTTTTGTTTCAACTGAGAAGACCCCATTGGAATGGATGCCAGTCTACTGGAGTGGGTACCAGTCCAATACGCCCACAATTCATTACATTAACTTTATCTTGGTATTGCTCCTGAAAAAAGTTCTCTTCAATATTCATGAATTTTTGGGACTCTCTGACCTACAGTTTTTCTACACTATCCATGAAGGAGTGGTGTTCAGCCTGATAAAGTAGGATTTTAGCCATGAAAGTTTGCAATTTGTGTGATTTTAAGTGGTTCAATAATGGCCTGAACTATAGTATTTTCCTAATTCTTCTTTGTGTTCATGTTATGGAAGACAAGGAAAGTTTAAAGTAATTTGAAAAAAATTAAAAGACTCTCACCTATTCAAGAGATACGAAATTTAGTCATGCCACTTTGTAAAATCTCTTTGTCATCCCTTTGAACTCTGAAATATTTATGCTTATTGAAAGTTCATTAAAAATCATATTTCTTAATTTGGACACATTGTTCAAAGACGTGACAAAACAAAACAAAACAAAATATTGTGGCACCTTTAAGACTAACTATATTTTTGTGTGAGTTTTGTTGGCTACAGTACTTTTTTAAAAAGTCTGTTGTTAGCTGAACAATAATATTCTTCTATGACCATAGTGAAGGCTTAGAGACTTAAAATGTATTTAAGCTTTCTTGAGCTAAATTTCTTGATCTAAGTTTTTGTATTAGTCATTTACCATCAAAGTGCCTCATGATGGCAGGTGAGGGAGAAGGAAGAAGATATAATGGAGTGGGCAACACAGTGCAGAAGCTGCTACTGTCCAGTATTGGATAAGAGGGGACAGATTTTACTACTCCTATAATGATGTCCCTCAGCGATGCTCTTTCCATTTCTAATGGTTGATGGTTCACCTCTGTGGAAGCAAGTAATGAGCTACTATACTTTTGCCAGTAGCGTTAGAACAAGACCAAATTACCCTTTGCCCTTTTGTCTTCATGATCATGAGGTCAGGTAATCCTTGGGTATATCTAATTACAGTTAGTATATTGGCTGGAATCCTGTTGCTTAGCATAGTAAATCACAACTAGAGTAGGCACATTCAATCAATGAACTTACAGAGGAGTTGACTCAGCAAAACTTCACTGATTCAATGAGTTTAGTTGTGACTTGCTACGCTAAGCAACAGAATTTGAGCCAACGGCCAAAATCCTGTTGCTTAGTGTAGTAAATTGCCCATGGAATCAATGGGCCAAAATCCTGTTGCTTAGTGTAGTAAATTGCCCATGGAATCAATGGGCCAAAATCCTGTTGCTTAGTGTAGTAAATTGCCCATGGAATCAATGAGGATTTAGTGAGTCAACTCCTCTGTAAGATGCATTAATCCAAATGGATCTATTCTAACTGCAACTTGCTTTAGCGTAGTAAGTCACAACTAGAGCAGGCCCATTTGGATTAACAGAATTTAAGGAGGAGTTGACTCACTAAATCTCTATTGATTCAATGGACCTACTCTATTGGAATTTACTGTACTAAGCCACAGGATTTTGGCCAATGTGTTGAACACAATACAGTTTAAACTACAGTGGGCCCTCGACTTACGAACTTAATCCGTTCCAGAAGTCCGTTTGTAACCCGAAAAGTTCGTAACTCAAATCAGCATTTCCCATAGGAATGCACTGAAAACCATTTAATCCGTTCTGGCTGTTTTTGGTTCTTAAGTCGAGGGGCAGTTTGCTAGTCGATTCATTAGTTCCCATAGGAACTAATGCAAAGCTGCTTAATCCGTTCCTACCACTAGGGGCAGTTTTTTCCTTTTTTCCCTTTTTCTTTTTTCTTTTGGGTTCGTAACTCGATTCTGCAAGTAGGGTTTATAGTTTCCTATGAGATCGGGTTCGTAACCCGAAATGTTCGCAACTAGAGACATTTGTAAGTCCCACTGTATTGGCTTTAAAGATGGATAGTAACTTGATACAATTTAGGGCACAGCACAGAGCCTGTTACTCAGATGTTATCCTAAGAAGATTAGAATCCTTCCTTTCTTTACTTTCACAATGATATTGCCTCCACTCATTTAGTGAAATTACATAGCCAAGAGAAAAGATACTCAGTTCTGAATTCTTGAGCAAGATGCTTGGAATTTAGCTCTGACATCTTTATAAAATATTTTGGTGCATTGTGAAGACATTTGTCCTTGATCCGTGAAAGAGATATTTTCTACCAAGGAACGTTTTTCTGTAGGAACTCATTATCACATGGAGGTTTCGCTCCACTTGGATGGAACATGTCTGGCTCCAGGGGTACATGTGTCCTTTGAACACATTTAAGGTAAGGGCACACACCTCTTACAATAACCTTCTGTTCTTGCAGGGATTTTATTGTTTTAAGAGCATGTGAATTGCCTTGCTGGATCTAAGTAAAGCTGTGTTTGTTCCTCAAGCAGTGATCTGGCAGGTGTCCCTTGAATCTGTTGAGCAGAGCATGATAAAGATACCTATCACCAACTTTTCATATTTTCTCTTCTCTGAAGAGCAGAGGGAATTCATTTTTGTCTAACTGCTAAATTCTGACATTTTTAAAGACCAGCACCAATCCAAGGAATGCTGCTGTTCAATATAAAGGGCAATGAGATGCCTCTTCCATTTTCTTTGTAAAGAAAGCCAATGGACAGCAGTATAATCTTATATCAATACTGGCAACTGGATAATGTCCCCCACCATACTTGAGGGCAACAGGGTGATTTAGAAATTCAAGAGAACCTGACTAGTACACACAGGTTCACCCTTCAGGAGAAGGAAATGGATGGGTAACTGAGGAGAAATAGCTGGGGTACTGCTATGCCTGCCTCCAAAATCTGTCTGGTTTGGACATATACTGCCCACCCTTGCACCTTGGCTGCTAGAGTCATGTACAGCATTAGGCACCAAACAAAATTAGCACAGAAAGTGCCACAAAATAATAATTTATAAATTGCAGCAACTGTTTTAAAAGTTTAAATATAGATACATAGAGCACTAATTTAGAAGAAAAGTGTTCACATGGCACCACAAAAGAGAAGAAAGACGGTAACAGATAAGCAAAAAATAAATGCAAAATGCTATTTTACTCAATCAGACTGAATCATTACAGTCCAAACCTGTGAGAATTTATTAAGAAATAAGTGACACTGGATGCAGTGGGGTTTACTGGCCAGGTAAGTGTGAATAGAATTACAGCCTCCAACAGGATCTTTAGCCCTTTCAGTTCCCTCTTCTGTTGCTGCCCACACTGCCCATAACATTGTTTTATGATCAAAGAAGAGTAGAGAAAAAGTGGAGCAAGGCTAATAGGCTCTCTTTTCTACTCTCTGTGGGAATGGTCTTTTCATAAATGTCTTGAACTTGACCTCTTTCGAAAAGCACAAAGGCCCAACACACTTTTTAAAAATTATATTTAAATTTAAGTTTTTTTTAATTCAACAAAGACATTTAATAACAGACCCTCAAAACGCAGAGCATAAATCTTTCAGGATGATCACAGGACAGAAACTTATGGAGAAAGCGATGAAGTCCAGTAAATGCTCTGAGGCAGCATTCTCCTTTTTTCGTTCCCAAAGGAACCTTTCTAGTAAGACCACATATACTTGTTTTTTAATGGAACACCTTATACACCATGGTGCTGACTATAAAAGTACAAGTGTAAAGAATTAGGTCTAAAAAGTTGTCATACCCCACCCCTCATTATAAAAATGTCCTTGATAGTGAGGCATTGGGGGGCATTAGAAAGATTTACTGTAATAATATAAGTGGCTATAATGAAGTTGGGAGCAAGGGAGTGTTGATATGATAAGGATCTTCAGGCCGTTCTACGAGCACAAATATTTAGGGACACAGTCTCCTTTCAGTTGATCTGTATACTAATATTAACATGAACAGTAATTACAATTATGCAAGACAGAGCACATTTAGTTTATTTTTATTTATGTGAGATCCTTATTAAAGGTGTTAGCAATGCTTTAGATTAAAGTAATCTGTCCAGGAAAATAAGGTCATCAGTGGCGGTGGCAGCCCTAGACTTTCTACAGTTGGAATTCAGTGTGTTTTTGTAACTGAGTAAAAGTCTTGTTTGCATGAAATTTTCAAGGATATCTGGAGCTGATTGTCCTGGTCATCACCACTTTTTGGACTACAGTAATGAGAACCACGCCCCAGCCAACAAAGCCACATTGACTGAGTGAATCTGGAGTTACAGTTTAAGGAATTGTTACAGTGTTTGGCATCACTAAATGTCTTCACCAAACCAGTCTGAATGTCACATTGTTCATTGAAGCAGCATTGTTTTTGAAGAAGTACAAACAACACCAAAGCATACATACTGTAGAGCAAATAGACTTCACCCAGGAGGTGGATGCATGTCCATTTCAACGTATCACAGGTGATTTGCAGATATTTCTCTAGCTAGATCATAACCTTCCACATGGAGGCAGTGCTTCAACATAATTCTGGGTAAGCGATGAGTAGGCTTGTGGCCCCACATATTCTTGTGGGTGAGTGCAATGATGAATAGCAGAAGTGCCTAACCAGGTTGCAAGACTGCTTCTCATAATAACAAAATTGCCACCTTACAATGAAATAAGAATGTCTTCATCACCAGGTGGTACTGAGGGATCTGCTGCGATTTCTGTGTCTGCATAAGAATTCCATTTAGATGCTCAAATTATATGCCACCACCTTGATATGATTAACAGAAAAAGAAAGAATCCTATTATAAACCCCTTCTTTATAACAATGGGTCAGAATGGTCAAACAATACCTCTAGACCCATGTAACTGGTTCTGTGTGAAGCTTGCTCATGTTTAAACAATTGGATTAGAGACTACCCTCATCCTCAATTCTTGATTAGAGACTACCCTCATCCTCAATTGAAAATAAGACTTAAATAACTACCTTTCATTAAAACCACAGATCATGGTGCAGTTCAGCTAGGGAAGTGTACTCGCACTGAATCTCAGGTTTGGAATTCAGATTCAGAATGTGAAGTTACGGCCCTTTGAATTCGACATTTACAAGATTTGGAATTTCCAGATATCAAAAGATTTGTTACAATCAAAATGAATACTATGTAGTCATTATTTCCCCCCTTAAAAACACACACACACACAACACAAACAGGAAAACATTTTTAAAGGATTTCCCTGTGCCCTCTGCCACCTTCCCAGGGATTGTCCCAAACTAAAAGATTGCACGACAACAGTCAACATTTAAGAAAATTACTGCAATTTAATTTAGGAAATTAATGCAATTGCCATATTGATTGAACCATGAACAATAGGAATGCCATCAGCAGCAAAGAAGCAGGGGACAGGTCACACTTGCAAGGCAGTGGACAAATACCCCGGGCAGCACTAGCAAAATAAAAAAATAAAAATAAAGCAAAGTGTGCTGCCTATATATCCTCCATATTGCTTCAAGCACTCTCTGGGTGGTGTACAAGTTAATTATGCAGGGTTCACATTGCCCCCCCCCCAACGAGCTGGGTACTCATTTTACCGACCTTGGAAGGATAGAAGGCTGAGTCAACCTTGAGCAGGCTACCTAGGAGTGAACTCTGGGATTGAACTGTGAGCACAGTTTTGGCTGCAGTACAGCAGTTTAACCACTGCACCACAAGGCTTGAGTCTGGCAGGCCGATTGGAGCAGCAGATGGCCTGTGGTGGAGGGAAACAGTGCCAACAATATGGGGCACAGCACAGTTGAGTGAGTGAGCACAATCTTGGAGTAGCAGTTGAAGGAGTTGATGAGGCAGAAGCCCAGCAATAATAGGTTGACCTTTAGGAAGACAAGTTTTTCTGCAGATCCAGGCTCCAGGTGTGGGCAATGTGGACTGACAATGTTCCCTGACTTAGAGAACACTCTCTCACTGGGCGCACTAGTTGCCACCCTGGTCAGACCGCTCCAAACAGTCATCTTCTCGGCCAGCCCAGTGAGCCAAGGGATCAGTCACTTTCGGCTTGCAGAGCTCTTGCACATACACCTCTGCCTCTGCCATGCCCTTCCTCTCGGGTGATGTCTATGGAGAACAGGCCCCTGCCATGTTTGTTAAGACACTGTCCAAGAAAGCGTGCCCTGTCATTCCAAGGGTGAGAGACGTGGACTCCATTATACATCTGCTGGTACTGCTGTTTGGGGTTCTTGAGCATTGCTAGTTTTTCCTCCTCTGTGTGACCCCTCAGTGCTAACTGAACCTTTTTAATTAGTTGCTACTGCATGTGATGGAAAATTGGCTGGCATTGCCCCAGCCTCTGCTGCTGCTTAATATTCATTCTCCACTGTTTAATTTGGGGACCCAGTAGTGTTGCTAGAATGTACTCCTCCTTCCACAAAGAGGCAAACCTGTAGTGGAGCTGATCCTTTAGCTTTCCGGCTGGGGCCACCATTTCAAGCTAGAAAAAATAGTGCTGTTCTCTGTCTATGGATTCCCCCATCCACCTACACTGCCCCCTCATTATGCCCTCCATCATGCCAACCATGCCCTGAAACATTGAAATGACCTGGCTTAGTGTCTCCCCACTAAGGAAGAGTGTTGCACTCTCCAAGCTTCAGTTATAGACCACTTGACCCATAATGCCCGACTCTTCTCTGCTCAGAGGAACAGCCATACCGATGGAAGTCTCCCATGCCAAATCATGGAATGCCTTTTGCTGTTTCAGCACTCTTTCAAGCAGGTAGAAAGTGGAGTTCCATTGAGCTGCCACATCCTGAATTATGTGCTACAGTGGCAATCCCAATTTTCCTTGCTTTTGTTACAACAACTCACTGCCCCAGGCACTGATGAAAATGCTCTGCTACTTTTCTGGCCCATTCAGTTATATTAGATATATATTAGGTATTCATGTGTCTTCCACACCCTGCAAAGCACCCCAAATTACTAGGCTGACAGGGTAGGCCATACACATCACACCTTTCATGTTCCCAGCCTGCAGTGCTGCCATCATATTTGCCCCATTGTCTGTGAGAAACAGACCTTGTTTTTCTGTGGCTAAACTACACTGCTGTAACATGTTCCTCAGAACCTCTGGAATGTTGTGAGTTATGTGGCTGTCGTCCATCACAGCCACATACAACAGGGCCCTTGTGTATGCCCTATGCTTGATTCCTCTACCTTCCACCAGTTTCCTGTCAGGGAGATATAGACTCTTGTAGCTCCACATTTCACTTGTAAAATGTACCACTTGTGTCTTGAGCAACGGCTGCTGCACCAGTTGCCTGATGGCCCAATATAAATCTTGCACTACTGTGATCAGGGTTAAAGTTCTTTACTCCTTTTGATACATTTATCTGTAAAGGAGGCAACAGTAGCCCGAAATCTTCCAACAAAACAGGTTTATTATCTAACAAGTTATCAGTCTCAAACATGTTTACATTATTCCGTTCTGCTTTTAACAAGTCGTACTTCTTAACTTCCATCAAACCAGGTAACTCTCCTTGCAATGAAAGAGGAGATGAACTCTTAACTCTAGGTGTCCATTTCTGCCCAGTGCCCGAGGTGCCTTGCATATTGTCTGTCAGGGCTATGGTTGTGGATGGTATAGCCAGCCCACCTGCAGCTCCCAGAATTTTTTCTCCTGTTCTGTCTCAGCGGGGGGCTGAAAGGACGGAACCCACGGGATCTCCCAGTTGGCGCCATAGATCTTCTCTATTCTTTGATTTGTTCTTCCCTCCTTAACCAAGATTTATATTCTTTCTTCCTTTTTCCTTTCCTCTGTCTCACCCCAATACGGTAGTTTTCTATAGGTTTGTCTTTTCCATTCTTTCCCAGCATATTCTCTGGGCACTCAAAACTCTACCCATTCCCCTGTCCAGGGATCTTCTTGTATCAAATCTACTAAATCTTCTCTCTGCTCTGTAACATCCTCCTCAGCCCAACACACCTCTCCCTTTTCCTCTTGCAGACTGCTCTCCCCCTCCTTCTCCCCCTCTTTTCTATCCTCCAAATCAATTCAACAGCATGGAAGTAGTAGTAGTAGTAGTAGCAGTAGCAGTAGCAGCAGCAGCAGCAGTAGTAGCAAACTAAACTGAGTGAAAGAATAAATACACCCTGGGGTTACTCTTATCCTCACAACAACTCTGCAGCTATGGGTCATTTGGGATGGCAGATTCTAATGGTATGCCAGTTTTGCCACAAACCTATGAGGGAGAATCCCTCATGGCATCTGCCCAAGCTTTGGAGCGATCTCCAATCTCAGGCTCTTCACCACCTCCTAAGGCCCCGAAAGGACCTAAGATGGCATCAAAGCCCCAAGCGTCCTCCTCGGGCTCAAGGTCGACGGCTACGGTCTTGACACTGAAGCCTCCATCAGTATTGATGCCGAAGAAAAAGAAGAAGCTGGCAGCTGCACAGAAGCCTGGGTGCATGGCAGGAAAGACCACACCATTGCCGCCGGTCACTGATAGATCCCGGCTGGGACTGGTATGCTAAAGCAAGAATGTCCTGCCCCCAATGCCAGAGGCCACACCATCCCCACAGTTAAGTCAGTCACCTGACTGGGGACATCACTTGGCTGAGGTCATTCAGTTGGCACAGCCCAGCCCTCAGTCTCACCCGGTCTCGTTTTCTTGGCATGCTTCAATGTCACAGCCGAAGTAGGTCCTGTTCGAGGCTCCTAGGAAGAGAACACAAAAGACTCGATATTTGGAGCCACCTGTTGAGCCCGAGACATCCCAGCATCTACCTATGCCTCCTCATGATGGCTATCAATATTATAAGGCTAAGAGCTTGCAGTACTATGAACGCCCTCATTTCTTGAAGCCCAAAAAGTTGAAGTCCAATCCTCACCTCTATTCTAGACCTCACAGGCCTGAGCGCTACTATAGATATCGGCCAACATATGGATTCTATGGGCCGTATTCTCCTTCACCTTCATGCTTGCCACTGTATTATTGGTTCTACACCAACCACTACCCCGAGGAGGATTTATACCCGGGGCCGCCATGGTGATCTTACCAAAAGAGGCCCTTGCCGCGTTTGTTGGTTCTTATGGCATCTACTACAGCTGGGGTCCAGCATGCCCTCCTGAAAATGAGATCCCTACAGGTGTGGTACCTCTCCCTTTTCAATGCTGTGCTCAATGTCCCATCCAAGCTACTAGCGGTCACTGTCAAGCTGGCATCCCAGTTGACCTGATGGGGTTGTTGGTCAAACCTCCTGGTGGGAAGGATGTTTGGCCCTCTGGCTCTGATGGTGCAGCCTGTGGACCACAGATGCCAACCTGACTGGCTGGGGCATGCACTCAGGAGACTTGACTGTACACGGCCTATGGTCTATGAGCGAGGCACGACTCCACATGAGT